CCTCCTCCTCCTCCTTCTTCTTCTTCTTCTTCTTCTTCTTCTTCTTCTTCTTCTTCTTCTTCTCCTTCTCCTTCTCCTCCTCCTCCTCCTCCTCCTCCTCCTCCTCCTCCTCCTCCTCCTTCTCTTCCTTCTCCTCCTTCTCCTTCTTCTCCTTCTTTTTCCTGCCTTCCATACCACATTTCAGGTGCTAAATTACACCTAAAACTGTCTGCCTAGTTGCAAAGAAGCAGCACAAATTCAGTTTGTTAGTTTGCCATATTTGAGTGATTTCACTCTTGTGGAATATCCATTGGCTTTGCTATAGATATCCTAATAGCAACATCTTCCTAGGTTTTCTTTTTTTTTCTTTTCTTCTTCTTCTTCTTCTTTTTTTTTTAAACCAAAGACAAGAAAGTGATAACCTCCATTCAAAATTTTACCTGCCAAATTCTTGCCAGCATGAGCAAGTGTCACTCTGTCAGGGCTGCTGCAGTCAGCACTAATTCATCTGGAGATGCCATGGCTTCTGCATGTTTCCCTTGTTCTTTCTTATTCAGAAAAGGAGGCCCAAACACCAACTGTAACTATTTACTGCACCCATTACTGAGTTAGAAGCTGAGGCCTCAGGGATGCCTGCAGAGGTGCAAAGAGCAGTGTTGATGCATTCTCTCTACTTTCCCTACCCTCAACAGTTTCCAACATTCTCAGAGGCCCTGTAAAACTGTTGCTGATATTAAGAGGGAGGAGGGAGAGAAGGAGGAAAGGAGGGAGGGAGGGAGGGAAAGAGACAGAGTCAGAGAGAGAGAGGGAGAGAGAGAAAAAGAGAGAGAGAGAGAGAGAGAGAGAGAGAGAGAGAGAGAGAGAGAGAGAGAGAGATTCTTGAGCCACTTTGCCCATTTGCTCTTACATTGACAAGAGGGTACATGTGAAGGAGTATGGATTAGCTATGCATATGAAGAACCCAGGAAAATATTACTCTTCGGAGGTTTGGGAGGGAACAACCATGATTTAAATTTGGTAATTAAGACTATGGTAAAGGCCCAACTAAGACTCTTGGATGATATGAAGAAGTACAGTGGATAAAGAGGAAAATATCATCAGATAGTTCAATGAGAGCTGGAGGCAGCTTCTAATAAGACAGTCTTCCATGGTCTTAGGAAAATAGACTATGGTGATGCTAGTAAAATGTCTGAAAACAAAAAGCAAACATTGAATTTCAAAAACTGTCAGATGAATAATAATTTGATTTTAAGCAAGGACTTTTAAAATAGGATTCTGTAGCTGGAACGAAATCTCTGCAGTTCTCATAAAGAGAGTGGGTCACTAGTTACCTCTGTGTCTCTCCTTTAAAAGTCTCAAGATGTCTATAGCAATCCCTCAATGTCTGTTTTCCAGATTCCATGGTTTCCCGAAGCTCTTCCCCCAGTATCAGACTATTGGTCTTTTCCAGAGGTCAAAAGCGATCAAGAAAACTATGAGTGCTGCACAGCAGCAGCGTGACCCAGTTGTCTGTAGTTAAAGTCCACTCTGCCCATCTTGCCCTGATGCTCAAACTCTCATTTGCGTGTATATAGTTGATTTGTTGTGACATATGCTTATTTTTTTTTCACGTTTCAGCCGAGGTTTTGCTCAGTCATACAAGTTCCTGACTCCATGGTTTCATTGAGGGAAATCAAATTCAACTTCTGTCATATCTTTTCAGGAACTAACATTCTAGTACAATTGAGTTTCTGCCTGCTGTGCCTATTATATAGAAAAGGCATCAGGCTCTCTTCCTCCCTCCTTCCCTCCTTTCCTCTCTTCTTTCTTTCTTCCTGTTTTCCTTCCCATCTTCTGTCCTTCCCTTGCTTTTTCTATGTCTGTAAATGTACCCACAGATTCTAGGTACCTTTCTGTAGAATCATCTTTCCTAGGCACAAGACTACAGCTTAGGCATCCATTTATCTCCAGACAAATGAGTATGAACACACTCTCACCTCTCTCACCACCACTGCCTTCTTGTTTGTTTAATAAGCAGAATAAACTTTGGTGTTTGAGTAGCCCTTTGGAGCATTAAAGGCATTCTGAGTTGTTCTGAAAACTAGACTCTGATTTATCTAAACAAAGGCAAATAAACAATGGTTCTTTTCCTGGTAATTCTGAGTAGCTAATTTGTCCAACCTCATTCTCTTCTCTGAGTCACTAAGTCCAGGGTTTATCTCTCTACCCGGGAGCTCATGTATGACACAAAGAGTATACTTTGTAAATGTTCTGCATCCTCTAATTTAGGTGATAGAAGGAGAAAACAAGTTAGAAGTAATAATGTCAACCTTTAAGCCAAGTCGAATTAGGTAATGGGACATAATAAAAGGCCTTTCCAACCAAAGCCACTTTGTTGTGAGCAGTGTATGAAAGCACACATACACACCCTAGTAACATGTATGCTGTGGTCAGTTAGTGTGCTTGTTGGGGATGTCACCGGTATGGCAGAAACATCCTCAGAAATTTTGCTGCATGCCTATGATAAGCAGCTGTCTAGTGCTCACTGTTCCACCAGGACCACCAGGCTAAGGGCTCCTGCTGCAGTACAGCATGGGTCACGTGGCTGCAGAACCCAGACATACCTCCATGCACTTCTGCACCTGTGCAAACCACCTCCCTATTGACAAAGAGAATACTTTCCCCTGGCCTGATGGGTCCAATAGATCATTTCAGCACTACTATCCTCCTGTCTCTCTCTCCTCCCTTCTTCTTGTGTCCTAGAAGCAGGTAACTATACGGCCAGGTAACTATAGTCCACATTTTCAGTACACAGATCTCCTTTGATGTTTCCTGGCCTGTTTTAAAGTAAAGCCATAGGCTAACAGGAAAAAGGAAGGCAAACTTGCCTGGTGTAATGGCTGAATGTAGACTTCATTCTCAACTCAAACTTCCTGGTATAGAGGGTAGCCCAGAGGAAATGGGCAGATTCCCATGATTAGATAGTATGGCACAGCGTATCTTCATCCTTTTATACAAAACTAGTGTAGATAAAGGGACCTAGATCAATCCTACCTGACCTCAGAGGGCCCTGGGGTTCATCTTGTGCCCAACAGTTTAACTGGGTCACAGCTTCACCATGTGACCACAGACCTGACTGAATGACTCATCTCTTACCACCATCAGGATAACCAACAGGATTTGGGCCAGATGGGCAGGAATTATATCCCTATGTAGGCTTGAATAAGAAGCATTAGCAATCTCCTGAATCATGAGAACTTGAAGAGAAACAGGTGATGTCAATAACGACACAATTGCCCCACCAGAAATTATGACCTGTTTTTGTTTTCTTTAGACATTGTATATCTAGAGTTAGTTTTGTTTTTTTTTAAGTATTTTGTAATTTGAATTTTTCAGGCTAGCTGATCAGTTAATGACAAGTACTGCTGCTCTTACACAGGATCTACAGCACCGATGTCAGGAAGTTCACAACCACCTGTAGCTCTCATTCCAGGAAAATCCGTCACCCTCTTCTGAATTCCTTAGGTGCATGCAGTTACATGTACATATTTATACACACACACGCGTGCAAACACACACACACACACACACACGGGGTGAGGGAAGGGTAGTATTAAATGAAAGTTATAATCAAATAAGAATCTAGAGATTCTAGGACAGAGAAAGATTGTGAAATAAATTTTTAGAGTTTGTGGTAAAGTGAGTTTGGGGAACACCTAACTAAACATATACGGGCTTGCAGCTCACGAAAAGCCCCCGATTTTCTTTTCTCGAGCAAAGAAACTCCTAAACACAAAACGACAAAGCTCCCATGTCCAATGAGGAGAGTGAACTCTAAAGTGGTACCCAGGGCCCCAGGGTGACAGCTCAGTTTATCTTCTGCAGAAGGGTCCTGTGAAGGGACAAGTAGCAGCATGGAGGTTTTTAAGCACACTGGCATCGTAAAGCTTCTACACACACTGCTGGGCCTTTAAAGGCTGCTTGCTCTAGCTGGGTTTTCACCCCCTTCCTGGAGAACCCCTTTATTCCTTCCTTAAGACATCTCTCCCCTCTCTACCCGTGGAGGCCTAGAACTGGTTCGCGACTCTTCCAAGCGTAGTGGATGAGAGAGCATGGCTATAAAATGATCTGTGTTCCTCCACTTCCTACCCCATTCCTTTCTCCCTGTCACTAAGACAAGGGGTCTCCTCTCTCTCTCTCTCCTACCCCAGAACTCATGTTTAACATACAAAGTACACCTTGCAAATGTCCTGCATGTTCTAATCTGAAAGATGGAAGGAGAAAACAACTCTGATAAGCACCACATTTGATGCCATTTAACACCCTCCTCCCCCCCGCGCCCCCAGCGGTCCCTGGGAGCCAATCCCTGCCGGCCCCCTCCGTTTGCTAGCCAGATCCTTTTGCTAGCTACAGTGTTTGCATTAATCAGCTGCGTAGGCTCGGAGACTGTGTGTTTTGGTGTTGTTTGTGCGTGCAATCTCGTGCTGCTTCCTGAACGCATGTGTCCCTTCCCTTCACAGCCTACTCGACACCCAGCACCTCCCCCGCAAACCGATTCGTCAGTGTTGGACCACGGGATCCAAGCTTTGTAAATATCCCTCAACAGACACAGGTGGGCCGCTCTCATCTTTTCTGTATGTGGTGCAGCTTGTTTTATTCATCAGGTGCAGTTTGATGTGTCTTGGAGCAGACCAGGTCACACATGACCCAGCTCTCTCCAGTTCCCTTCCTCCTGACCCCATCCCTCCTAGCCCTCGCCCGTCCCCGCCCCCCTAGCCATGTTCTCTCTGTGTTCTTAGGAACCATAAACAGCCTTCGTGGGATCTTTGCTTATGGTATTGGAGTAGGAGAGGAGAGCTTCTGGGCCAGACTGCTTTTGCCATGATAAATTAAGGTTGCTAGGCTGGACAGTGTGTATTCCCTCTTTGTGACAGCCATGGCTCTGTAACTATAACCAGACAAAAATGGAACCTGTTTTCCATGGTATTGAAGCAGCCACTGGGAGACCAGCCACTCCTCTCATTTTATGGCCCCAGGAAACTGGTAAACTTTCTAAAAGATGGGGCAAGGGACAGGGACAAAAGGTTTCTAAGCTCTTTATTAAGTTCCTAGTGTTAGATCCAATAGTGACCGATGGGAAACTAGCGTGCTGTAACTGGGCGTGGCTAAGCAGGAAGTCATTGAAGTTGCTGATTGAAAATAGGGTGCAGAACACCCAGAGCTGGCTGAGCACTGGAGAAAGATGCTTTGGGGTTTGTATAGGCTAAGAAGAGCTCTTCTAAAACAGGTTTAAAGTACCTGCTGTGAATCGAGATGCAGTAAACCTCTGGGCCCCAAGGCATATATGTAGAAGTCCATGAAAGAGTCTTAGGTCCACGTTTGTAGATTAAACTAATCTTCGATTTCGTAACCAGAATATGACCATAGTTGATACCAGGAAATGATTTTGTCTCTGAGGTTCTTGACATGATTTGAAATTTTCTTCAGGTTGTTCTGTGCATGCGCTTAGCATGTGATGTCGGCCGCCTAGCTTATATCTGCTCCCTCCGCGCAGGGCTCTGCCTTACTGTGCTTACCTGCAGCACTGCTTCTGATCCCCCCTACACTGAGGCAGCACCCCAGAAAGTCTAGCTCTAATCAGAAAAAGGAGGGCCCAAGAAGAGGACGGGCTTTCCTCTTGAATCTCCCACTTCTGCTGTTTCTTCTAAATCTGGCTTGCACATGGTGTCTGAGATTAAAATTCCTACTCAGTACCACCCTCCCATCAAATTCTTCCACTTATTTGTTTATTTTCCCATACTTTCAAATATTCCAATACTGTCCTGGTGGTTTGAAGTCGTACCATTGCCTGAGAACACCCATCCTAGAAGATGGGTGTTTAGCTGCGTGCTTTGGACTTCCATGTTCAGGCTCAGTGATGAGTAAGCCAACCGGCCTCCCATAGCTCCATACAAGATGGTTTTGTTTCTTTCAAAGCTTCAGTTTGCTCAGATTGATTCATTGAAAACCCAAAAAGTACAGCTCTGAAGTGTCTTGTTTGTATTTTGCATGGTATTTTATACAAACTAATTCACCTCATCTAAACTGTACATGTTCTACTTTGTTTATCTGTCTATAATGAAACTGCAGTTTTTCCAGTATTACTATTTTTTCATAAGCGCCTTCTTTAACTCAAAGGCAAAGTCTTCATGGTGTTGACCACAAAAACTTCAATTCTTAACAATCCAGATTTTGCACGCATCTGGATGAATGATGTCATACAGATCTAGTATTGGCACCTAGAACTGAATTCTTTTTGTTTTCCATTAAATATTTGGCATCATGATGACAATAGCTTAAATGTTTCCTACCACAGTGACACCTGTCACATTTGGCTTGAAGAAAGTCATTCCTAATTATTTCATGAGAAACTGTAAGAATGGAATTCTTTCTCTCTGCCCTCTATGAACCTATCTAGTCTTATATCTTAAAGTAAAATTTATATCCCCTGAATATTTTTATTTTATGATATATTACCATTTTAAAGAATAAACTGTTCAAAGTAAGTATTAGATATAAATGATAAATAATAATATACTTTAAGTACAGCTCCCTTGTGAGAAGTCATTAGTTGAAAAGATATTTTCTTACAGATGAATGTGAATGTGTGGGGCATGTGTGAGTGTGTGTGTGTGTGTGTGTGTGGTGTGTGGCATGTGTGCACATCTGTGTATGTGTCTGTGCATATATACATGCGTGCATGTGTGTGGTACTGGGGTTAACTCACAGATGCTAGGTTCTACCACTGATCCCAAGTCCTCTTTTTACTTTTCAAAAACTTTTGAGATAGGATCTAACTAAATTGCCCAGGCTAGCCTTGAACTCCTGATCCTTCTGTCTCAGTCTCCCAAGTAGTTGTACTGGGCTTGGCTTACAGGAAATTTTAAGTTTTATTTGAACAACTGTACATTCTTTATTTCCTACACAGCTTATAGCTGTTGTTAGATAGCTTTGCTGTAAGGCATGAAATTGTTATTGGCTGAAATTTAGGAAAACTTCTAAAGTTATCAGAAATTTGCTCTCTGCTGCTGTTCCAATAAGTTAGAGTCCCCCGTACAGATACTTGATTTGCTCTCTGCCTCTCTGCATGAGTAAATGTTGGAGTTACCTAGACAAATGTTTGACTTTATAAGTGCAGAAGAGCCAGGGATGGTAACCCATTCCTGTAGTCCAGCACTTGGGAGGCTGAGGCAGGAAGATTGAAAGTTCCAGACCAGCCTGGGATGGGGGATGAGACGCTGTCTCAGGACAAAACAGAAAAAATCCTGACTGAGGTTCATAAACAGATACGATTTGAAACGCTCCTTCATTTCCCTAGAACCCAGTTCCTGGTAGAAATCTCTAAGCATTCCTTATGCCATCCAATAGAGGATTGGTCTCCCATTTGTTTGCTAATTTCCACACACCTTCTTATTCTGAGATTTTCCTGATGAGTTTGAAGTTGCATAATTGCTTTGAAATCATCTATCTTAAAATACAGTTTATACACACAGTAGAACAGTGGTCATTGTTAAAAACGAAGGGCATCCAGATACTTGCCACATATGGATAAATCTAATCACATTATGTTAAGTTGAAAATGCCTATCACCAAAAGAGAAAACCTGTTTTTAAGCAGTGACTTAATTTTATTCAGTCATGATGCATGTTAATTGTGGGAAATACAGATGAGAAAAATAATAAAGTTCACCAGAAGTCTCAGAGTTAACTTTTCTATATAAACCCACCCTGGTTGTTTCTACACAGTTGAGTATATCACAAGAATAAGATCGGATTACATCCATTGTGTAGTAACCTGCCGTTCCTTCTGTGCCACAATGTATTATGACCTTCTTTCCATGTAAATTGAAAACATTGAATATTGGCTTTTATTACATCTATTCATCATCTGCAGTGATTGGTAGGGAAAGATATCATGGATAATTGAAAGCTGTTCTCCCCCCGCCCCCTTTAGTGCCAGTCTATTGTTTTCTCCAGAGAACCATCCTGTCATTGAGGGATAAATGCATCCCTCTTACACATGTAGGGACCCATTTCCATTCACACTCCTTCCAGTTGCCTGGTGCATCATACCCTGGCTTCTGGCTCTGGCTGGACATTCTGCCAAGTGATCTGCCCTCTTCTGCCTGGCTCTTCTGCTTGCTTCCTCTGCTCCTGTCATTTGGCCTTCACCTCACTCCTCCATATCTACAATGTAGTTACTCTTACTAAGAGATGTGGCCAGCTCCCTGTGGACTCTGAAAAGTCCACCTGTTCTGATAAACTCTCTCTCACTACACCCTGACATTCTTCTCCAGCAGTGCCCCATGATGGTTGATGCTAACTCATGGAAAGGCCCTTGAGTGTTTACTGTCTTTGTACACTGTTGATATGCCCCACTCAGCCCTGAATGATATAGACCTTGCCAGTCTTCAGATTTCAACTGGGGGCTATTGTAGCTGATATAGTTTGATCTCTGAAAACAAGAACTTTTAGGAACAGGCGTTTACTTAGAGCAGAAGAGGTCACATGTCACAACTGGGTTAGTACATAGGCCTACTTGTTCTCATACAGGAGGACTGAGCAGAGAGCTCATCTTGATTCGGGTTCTAGTTTAATCCAAACATTCAAATAAAATGTTTGACCTACAGAACTTCGATGAGGACAAATTCTTTACAATGAAAAATGAATTCTAACACTATTTAAAACAAGCATTTTCTCTCCACCATCAGACCTGTCATCATTTGGCATCAACAGAGTTGTGGCATCTGAAATGTTATTTAAACCCTAGGAGACTGGCTCAGCTCAGTATGATCCCAATTTGCTGTACCTTCTGCTGAATAAATCTTAACTGCCTCACCTACAGTGTGACCACCTCAGCTCAAGTTCACAGCATATGACTGAGCCTCACAGTCACCGTGAAAGGTTTCCATGGGACAAACCAAGGCAATGACATGCATTGCTTTATTTGTTGCCCACAACACCCACTCTGCCACCTTGGATAGGTATCCACAGAGAAAGTGGAGCATAGAGATTTGGAGAGGTTCTCAGTCTGCTTCCAATGTTGGAGTTATGTTCCTGAGGTCTAGCTAAGAATCTGCAAAACTCTTGAGAACTCCAACCACTTCAGCATTTGTTTTATTGCTTACTATATTTTCCAATGCCTAAAGAAAACAAGAATACCAACTGTCCTGAAGTTCTAGAGAGTTCAGTTGAAGAAACAAACATAAAGAAACAGTGGTACTATCATTAATCGTGACGCTAGTAGTGCAGTCTGTCCAGGCACTTGGGAGGCTGAGGCAGGAGGATTATGAATTTCAGCCCTGCTTAGGCTACATGGAGAGTTCTAATCTGGCCTGTGCTGCAAAAGTACCTCTCTCAGAAGGAGAAATAAGTAAATGAAAGCCATAGTGATTAGGATAAGAGGCTTCAATATCACAGAATGGCTGGAAGAATATTCCAAAGGCTAGAAGAGGCAGGAGAGACTGGGGCATTTCTCTGTCCTCATCTAAATTTTGTCTGATGATATTTTTCTTGTATATTATATCTAAACACAAACAACACACAAACACTTTTAATTCTTGCTAATCAGGTG